GATAGCGGTTGTTCTAATCACATGACAGGGATAAAGTCGTTGTTTAAGGAGATTGACGAAACTTACAAGTTACAAGTAAGGCTCGGAGAGCAGAGGCATCGTTGAAGTCATGAATGATCGGGGTAATAAACAAATGCAAGTTGAGAGCAGAGGCATCGTTGAAGTCATGAATGATTTGAAGCTCCTTTATGATGTTTATTTTGTTCCTACGCTGACTCAAAATTTGTTGAGTGTTGGGCAACTCATTGATAGTGGATATGCCATTTTGTTTGACAATTCGTCATGCGTGATTAGACATAAAAATATCTGGTCGAGTGATTGTCAATATTCAGATGACGGCAAACAAATTATTTCCACTTGAAGTGTCGAAAGTTGATGAACGTGTACTTGGTGCCAAAGCAGCCTGCGAGTCTAAATTGTGGCATTTAAGGTATGGGCATTTAAATGTGAATGGTTTGAAATTGTTGAGTCAAAAGGATATGGTTTATGGCTTGCCTAAAATTGAATCCTTGGAGTTATGTGAGGGCTGTGTTCTTGGCAAACAAGCAAAGAGATCTTTTCCGATAGGACTTTCTAGACGTGCATCTACTTGTCTTGAGCTTATACATGCAGATTTGGTAAGCCCGATGATAACAAAATCTCTCGGTGGGAGCAGATTCTTCTTGTTGCTAACCGATGATTAGAGTCGGATGAGCTGGGTTTATTTTCTACAAGCCAATTCAGAAACATTCGATATGTTCAAAAAATTCAAGGCTCTTGTGGAAAATCAATCCGGAAAATATGTAAAGGCGCTGCGTACAGACAGAGGTGGTGAGTTTGTATCTCACAAGTTTAATCAATTTTGTGATGAGCATGGCATACGAAGAGAATTAACAGCCCCATACACTCCGGAGCAAAATGGTGTCGTCGAGCGCAAAATTAGAACAGTCGTGGAGATGGCAAGAAGCTTGCTGAATTCCAAAGGACTTCCAGATATGTTTTGGGCTGAGGCAGTAGCGACAGCAGTGTATTTTCTTAATTTATCTCCTACAAAGTCTGTTTTGAACCGCCACCATATGAGGCTTGGAATCGAAGGACTCCGAGAGTAAGCTTGATGAAGAAATCAACAAAATGCATTTTTCTTGGCTATTGTTCACAATCCAAAGCCTATATATTGTACGATCCTATTGCGGGCAAAGTTATCATAAGTAGAAATGTGGTTTTTGATGAAAAGCAAGCTGGAAGTGGGATAACAGCTCAAGGAACATTGCTGTTTGAGCTTTTGGTGAAAATGAGAACATTGGAAGGGAGATACAGCAGCTGCCTTCACCATATTCTTTAGGCTCGTCATCACCATCTTCACCTAGACTCATACCTGAAGGGTCAAGAAGCAATTATGATGAAATTTAAAATGTCACTACCAGAAATTGTTTAATACCTTTCGGAGAATTGTTTCAGATTTTGAAATAGATCCGAGGTTAATTTTTTAATGCCTCGGAATTCGCTTCCGAATGGGACCGGAGGAGTAAATTTCGTTGCCATTTTGGTGGTCTCGGAAAATAGTTTCGGGATTTTCGAGACCAAATCCGAAAAGGAAGTATGCAATTATTAAAAATTGTTTAACAAAATAAATTCAATTTTTTTCTCCCCCATCTGCTGCCACCGCCAGAGAAGGAGCGCCGTAGAAGAAAAAAGAGAGGAAGAACAAGAAGCCAGCTTCGCCGCTGCTGCCGGAGAAGCTGGAGGAGGAGGAGATCACGCCGTGCCCGCCGCCGTCGTTGCCGGAGAAGAAAGAGGAGAAGTAGAGATGCCAATGCTGTCACTGCCGGAGAAGGAGGAAGAGGAGGAGCAAAACCTGCCGCAAATGCTGTTGCACCGCCGCCATCGCCGTTGCCGCCGCCGCCGAAGAGAAGCAACAGCTGCCGGCGACCTTGTTAAGATTTGATTAAAAAATAATTTGGATATATTTTATATTTATTTTTTACTATATTTAGTTTAAGAAGGTGAATTAGACTAATAATTATTCCATGTTTATTTGGAATGTACTTTTCAGGTTTATGCATTCCCCTTCACAACATCACTTTGGTGCTGCAAAAAGAGTGTTACACTATGTTGCTGGAACAGTCCAATTTGGATTATGGTATAGCCATGCATCCGATTTCAAGTTGATCGGTTATACGGACAGCGATTGGGCACGATGTTTGGAGGACAGAAGAAGCACCTCTGGTTACGTGTTTAGTCTTGGATCTGGTTCGATATGTTGGAGTTCGAAGAAGCAAGAATCTACAGCACTTTCAACGTCTGAAGCTGAATACGCAGCAGCGACAACATCAGCCTGTCAAGCAGTTTGGCTACGTCGTATTCTTGCAGATTTTGCTCAAGTCCAATCTGAACCAACGGAGATATTTTGTGACAATAACGCAGTGATTTCCATGTCGAAGAATCCAACCTACCATGGAAGGACAAAGCACATAGATATAGATATTCGAGTACACTTTATTCGAGATCTTGTGTCAATGAATTTAGTAACTTCAAAGTATTGCAGTACGCATGAGCAGGTGGCTGACATCATGACCAAGTCACTTACTCGAGACAAGCATATTCACTTCCGATCGAAGCTTGGTGTTTGCACTTTCGAATCAAGGGGGAGTGTTAAGATTTGATTCAAAAATAATTAGGATATATTTTATATTTATTAATTACTATATTCAGTTTTAAAAGGTGGATTTGATTAATAATTATTCCATATTTATCTTGGAATGTAATCTCAATATATTGAGATGTTTCCCCTTGAACAATATGAAGGACTTTGAAGTTTATCCAAAAAAGAAGCACTGCACGTCCTCTCCTCTCTGCTCTGTTCGTCTCCATTGTTTACAACCTAGTTTGGTGGCAATTTCTATCTTGATTCGCAACATGAACCACTGTAACATAGATTCATTTTCATATCTCTTTCTTACTCTTATATTTAATCATTAAAATTTATATTAAAATGAATGTTTTCATTTTGAAATAACAAAAATACTTCTGATTGAGTTGGTGTGGTAGGATAGTGCGATACTCCAGCCTGTAAAGCTACGCAAAGCCGGACGTATCGTAATTGTAGACTGGCCTCGTAGGTCAACACGGTCCTTCCAGCGCACTTATATGCCTTTAAATTGCTTTTAAAATCAATTATGTAGTAGCGTTTGCGTGGTAGTTTAAATATGATGTATTTGGTATCATTGTCAAGAAGTGAGAATTGTTTGAGAACTTGTCCTGTTTTTCTATTTCTGCGCCAACACAATCTTTCTAAAGATTGTAAATAGAAGCATACTACTGCTTATGTAGCCTTAGGCTATATTAGTTCTACGACTTTTGCTAATTTTGGCGAAGGGAAGCACAGTATCTCTAATGCATCAGAGTGCGTTCTATTTCAGTTCTTGTTGTGATTAGAAAATTAGTACAAAACATGCTTAATGTAATTATATTTTAAATGGGTTTTCTTTCCCTATTGTCTCCTCTCATTTTTATTTTTCAATCAGATTTTTTTGCTTATGTTTTTGTTGGTTAATCAATGTGATTCAAATCCTTCTAATTTTTCTTTCAACTACAACAGGAACTGACCATTCAACTTCTTAACTTTGTAGAAGCTGTTATACTGCATTTTCTACACAGAAAATGCTGTAGCCTATATATGTACACATTCCCCAGATTTTATCCCGCCGCAGGTAATCCTCTTACTACATCGTAATAATATAAAAGGGAAATTTATACTCCTACCTGGTAAAATCACTTTATATGATTTATGTACAACATTGTATTATATTGTTCTATACTTTTAGGCAGCGATAGCTCTATAAATATTTTTTACCGGTATCATTATATATAAACTTACAAATAAAATTAACTAATAGGTTTAATTTTATTAAAAAAACATACGAACAATTTATCTTTTTTAATTTAAATAGATATTAGTGACACTTCAAATTTTAATTAGGACACTAGAACTTTCCACTGGTAGCATATTTATTAAATTGTAAAAATTTCCCTAGTAAAATCACTCGTGACACAACTGTGATTTAAGAATACTTCCGCCGCCCTAACTTTTAGGTTATCCAAATATTTGCATGGATAGAAGTTTGTTACGTATGATTGCGGAAACTTGTCATTTCTTACACATTACACTTCTTTGTTTGACATACAATAATGAACATGCTATTTATTGTAATTGCGGATATAACTAACCCCTTTTACGTTTACCAATAAAATGGGATTCAATTAATTGAAAGTAGCTTAATTTTAGAAAATATTAACGGAAATAACGTCGGTATCCAAACTAAATTAACTACTCTATGTTTGATTCAATAAAGTCAAAATAAACTTTAAATATCTATTATTAAACCTTGATAAATTATTTTTGTCTAATTTTGGCGTATATATGTATATTCAAAATGTCAGTGTAATGTGTTCTTATAAGGTTCCCTTATGTACCAACAACACTTAGATTTGGATATATATATATATATTATGTCTCTTATATCTAATTTCTAGAGCTCAGAATTGTTTTAGGGATAGTTAAGGTCCTAATTGACTCTACTTATCACATAGTAAATGTATACATAAGATATGGCTAGAATTAATGCTATTATCATGCGTCGCCAGTCAATGCTATGTATAGTGCTACGTGTGATATATGATAAGATCAATGATGGCATGCATTGTCAGTATTGATACTATGTCAACATGTATTTTTGTGTTACAAGCAATTAGAGCACGTGCTTTGGGTCTTTTTATTATATAATAATTAGGATTAATTCTAATTAGCACAGTAAGTGCTGCTGTTTTAAATGTGTCAAGATGAACTAATGAACCTTTAAGGTGGTCCTAAGAAGTACCATATTCTCTCACTTTTCTTGGACAGGTGGGTTTCTGCAAGTTGATCTACTAGATAAACTGATGCTGAAAATATTTTCTATCAGATGCTGTATATATAAAATGTTGGAAGAGAGTTGCAGTCTCCAATATTCGACAAGTCTTGTGCATGTATACTTACTTTATGATACAAACATATTCTGTCACAGCCACTCGGTCTATTAATGATCACTCCAGCCTGAATTAAACTGCTAAAGTATGCTGTCTTAAGCCCTCCGCAAAGATCTTACATGAGGTAAATGTTGTTTAGCTACCATTGCCGAAATATATTCCAGTTCCTACCAGGTGGTCACGGAAATATATATGATTGAATAATATACTGCTATGCAGCTTATTTGCTTACTTCCTGTTAACATCCGATCTTGTCTTACAGATTTTGGCGACGAGGTTGGCATGGCCTGCTCATCCTAGCTCATGGAATACCAAGACCTCTAATACTAAATACGATGTCGCATTAGAAGTAGTTGAGTTCAGATTTATTACCGCTCCGTATATATGCTTACATTCTTGATTCAAATTGAGATGTCAAATGTTAAGTTTTGCTCAGCACTACACTAATGGATCCCTGAATCCTCTACCATTGGTGACAAAGATCAAACTGGTTGTTTGTATTCCTACTAATGAAAATATGCGTAGATGGTTGAAGATTTCTTCTGAAGAATGAACATCAACAGGGCAGTATTAAATATATATAATTCCCCAAGAAACTTTGTAGTTTTCATTGAATCCCTAGTTAATCTTCGCAGCCAATGTAGAATGATGTCTGCGTTTTGCTAGCTCGCTCCACCGTCTTGCTTTAATAGCGTACCAAGACAAGACAAGACAAGGCATTAGTAATATATATATACATATATATTCATATGTATGGAATTATACAACTATAATTTGGGCCTGTATTATTATTTTCATCCTCTATAAAAATAACCTAAAGACAAGAAGATAAAAAATAGTGAATTGGGATTTTTTTTTTTGACAAACTGTCCATATAAAAAAATGAAAATCAAAGCCCTATTGGAAAACCCTAATTTGTGTGCAGCAAGAGAAGACGTGTTGCCCTTGCCCTAAACGAAGAACTGCAGTTGAGGCCAGGCGCCGCAATAATTATCAAAAATACCCTCTCTATAAAACCCCTGCGTCCATTTCCACTCTTCACACCCTCGAAACCCATTTCTTAGTTTGTATGGCCATTCCAATATCGCTGCTGGCAGACTTATATCTATATCTATCTATATATACCAAGGCTTCCCCTTGACGATATATACGTGAGGAAGTCATTTGTAGTGTCTTTTCTTTCTGTAAAACTCAGAATTGTTGATTTCTATCTTGCAGATCCCTTGAGTTGCGCTTTAATTCTCCGGCTCCTTAATTTGTCCATCTGAAGGTAATATATGGTTCCATGTTCTGGATGTGATCTCCATCTCTTTCTCTACTCTATCCTTTCTCTTTTCACAATCTCGACTTTTTCTTTCATGGAAAGTAAAACTAGGGTTTTGATATAAGAGTTGGTGGATTTTTAAATGATTTATTATGATTATTGTTTCATCGATTTGGGGTTTTTTCAAGGAAAGTGAACTTAAGGTTTTGATTTCTTGGTTGATCTACTTTATAAATGATTCTCTCATTAAAAAATTTAGAATCGATAAGATGAGCATCAGATCTAATTATAAGAAAACCACATCCCATTATTTTTATGATTTTTCTTACATTTTATTTTCTTTAAGTTTTTTTTTGTTTTTGTTAAAATTAGATCTGATCTAAGCTGTGGTTTTTCTTTTTTGGAAAATTATATACTCAATCCTATAGGGATGTCTTGGTTTGTGTTTGAACGCAGCTTAGGAAGATCCAAAGCAAATTTACACCGGCTGCTCCTAGAATACAACTCGATCGAGGGCGATCAAATCAGGACCACGATGGAGCAGAAGGTGTATGTTCACAATGGATAAATGGTGCCATATCTATGATCAGGTATCAATGAAAAAAGCTTATATAAATAATGTTAATATATATATATATATATCGGTTCTTGGGTTATTAAATCTTGGGATTTGGAGTGGCAGTTATTTTGAAACAATTTAAAGTGATTTTTGAATGTTCTTCTTTTCAGTAACATCTAGGTAAATCAAGTAAATCAAGGTTAAAAAATCCAAACCAAAAAAGATGGCTTATAAACGTCATGAGGGCTCCATATCTCATCTGACAGAGAAGGAGTTATCACCGTCAATTCCCCGTTTTTTCCATGTACTGAATGATGCTCATGTCTTACATGCACTGGTACTCTCTCATTCATGTTGAATTTTTGGACTTCTTATTCTTAACCTTTGGGAGAATGCTGCTTGTAATATGTAGTGTCTATTATTATGGGATGTAAACATAGTTTGGCGAACAATTATTGAACTTTAAGTAATTTACTACATTACACAACTATCCTCTCATCACCCCCCAAACTTGTTGGGTACTAAGTTTTATAGTTTTAGGATGTTTAGTAGCAAAATTGTTGATATGTGTAGATGAAATTCTTTTATAATTTCTGCAATTTTTATAAAGCATGCATCCTTGTAAAAAATTTAATATTTTTGCAGCGCTTGCCATCTTCATTTGCTCCAAAGGTGGAGCACTTGGTGGACCAAGAAATCCTCCTTGAGGATTTATGTGGGCAGATATGGCCTGTGACTCTATCATATGTTGACAATGCATTATCATTCGCATTGGGATGGGAAATATTTTATAGGGACCATGCTCTTGAGGGGGGATGTTCCTTGATATTTAACTATGTAGGAGAGAGGCACATGTCTGTTCAAATATATGATCCAAGTGGTTGCGAAAGAACTTGCTTCACCTATCCAGTGCGACAACTGAACAATCAGAACTGCTATAATGTTGGGGTTGAGGAGATTTCTGAAATGGGATCAGCTCCTCGAACTGCAGCCATGGGGATGCCTCAAAGAAAGGGAGTCTCTATTTCCGATATCCATAATGGTGAGATAACTTCTACCTCCCTACTTATTTCCTCTAGTTTTCTAACGTTAACAATAGATTCAATGGTATTTTGTTTTCGTAAATATTGTCCTATTTCTTACATTTGTTTAGTTGCTTTAGTGAATAGGCTAGTGTTTATTTTCGTTTGTTCTCATGAGTAGCAGTGGTTGGTCTCTAAAATATGAATGTGCAAACAATCTATTAAGAGTTTGGTCTTGAAACATGAATATTGTAGCTATTTGCGTGTATGTTATTTTCCTTAACAGTTATAATCTGAAAATTATACCTTATGAAGTTGCATATGGGGTTTATTTTATGCCATGGTATCAATCAAAGCCAATTTTATATTAATCTTATAATTTGTTAGATACTATAAATGAGAAACGATATGGAAAAGGAAAAGGGAAAGAGAAAGAGCCAATCATAGGAAGGAAACTGATCCCTGCTAGCCCAAAGATGCCTCCCCCTGGAATACTTTTTGCTTTAGTTGTTTCCCTTATATTTGATCTTTGAAAGAATTTTAAATTCTTGCATTTGTAAATGAACGGAGTTGACATACTCTCTAGATATTTTTATTACTATGTGCTTTATGTCTTATTATCTTATTAGTTTTAACTACATTCGAGGAAAATAATATAAATTGCATGTCATATGGCTTTCAATATTTTTTTAGTTTAATATTCCATCTCAATGGTTTAGGGTTTGGGAAGCCGATGGGAGGTATTGCCAAGGAGAAAATGGGTGCCTCCGGGCAAGTAATCCTAACGAAGGTAGAACTTGTGCATGTAAAACAAGAAATTTGTTTGGAAGAGGAAATGGATGCAACCCCATCTGCAAATGCTAGCCACTCATCAAAGGACCCTATTAGCCCACCGCCCGTATAGTGTTTGCTTTCTTTATTTCACTATTAATTACATCCAATCTTTTGAAACATTCTAAATTCTTGCATTTGTAACGCAATAGAGTTGACACATTCAGATAGGAGCTCTATGGATCTATTCAACTGTAAGTCTTTCCCCTCCCAACCACCTGGATTTTAATATCGGTTCTGTGCTTAAAAACATGGTGTTGTGTGCATTTTTTTCTTAGAAGATGTGAGAGATTTGTGTTTTATTTGATCAAATGTGTGCTTGTTTATATGGGTTATGAATTGCTGGAATTGATCTATTTTGCTTTTTTGGCCATTGGGTTATGTTGTAATTAAATTTGAGTCCTACTGGTATTGATGTGTTTTATTGTTTTTTATTTGTTGGAATTGAGCCATGCTGCTTCCCATTTGTTGGTTTTGTTGTGTATTATTTCTCATTTCTTGGATATTGTTGGATTTATTTGAAGGCATAAAGTAGTATGGCTGGATTAATTATATTAATTTGAAGACATCCTAAATTGAAGTAAATTATCTATAAAATGAACACAACCCAATTTATTTATTTATTTTATTCATGTGAATTACATTGTTTGATCACCTAATCTATTTTTTGATGGTACAATTCTTTGTCAATATTATTCTTTTTCTCCATTTTAAAAACTATTGTATTTTAATGAGACAAATATACTCCTACGATTAAAAAAAGGTGGGTGTAATAGTATTTATGTAAAATAATTATAAACATAAGAGTATGTTTAATACGGAGTGTTGTCTACAATTACTAAAAAAAAAGTTGTTACTTTATAATTCAACAATCAAAAATAAAAAGATATATATTTTTGTGAATAGACGGCGGGGGTGGAGTCTATAGATATGGCGTTCCTGCTACTTACGACTTAATGATCCTGTTTGAAAATAGGCCGCCATATATATATAATTTTTTTAAATAGGCTTTCGATGCTGAATTTGCCACCCAATGTCAGCGTCACATCCGTGATACCTGTGGATTTTTTTTCCATTCAAAATCAGAATTTTAACTTTGGTTAAAATTAGATCAAATTGTAAGAAAATTTACAATTTATCAGTCAATACTTTTAGAAATTGCTTTACCAGTCAAAATTGTAAAAGAAAAAATTATGGAAAAAAAAAGAAGCAAAATAGAAAAAAATACTGTGGTTTACTGAATTTGCTTAAAACTCTTGTAGTACTAAAATTCCAATTTACTTACTTATAATTTCAAAAATGTTGTAAAAACACCCCTCCAAGCAATCAACGCAGCCACCAACCGGAAATTCCAATGCCTTCATCTCCCTGGTCGGTGAGGAAGCTGGCAGCGTCTTTATAAGACCTAGATTTCATCAAACCGCCGGATATGTTATTGGCATCGAAGAAGGCTAGGGCACAAATTTTGGAGCATAAGAATAATTTAGAAATCGATAACAAGGTCAGGCATGTTTTTTTTATTACAATCCAATCAATTTCCTTGACTTCTACTTCTGGGTGAAGAAAATTGTTCATAGTATTGAAAATGTAGTACAAACTTTTCCCTTTGTGATTTTTCTATCAGATTGATTGGTTAAAATTGTTTGGTAGTGGTTGCATGAGAAATTTTGCTATAGTGTGTTCTAATTTGATCCAATTTTGCCATAGTTGTTTCTTGTCGTGTTTATGATATACGGAAATTCATTGTTGTTGATATTTAAAATAATGTTTGCGTTTCATTCTTTGTGTGTGGGAATGGATCTTCGGTAAATCAAATTTTCTGTAAGCATTATTAAATTAAACAAATGAGTTGAGGATTTGTGGAGTTTTCGAAAGTTGTAAAGGTGATTGGTTTCCAGTGGAGAATTTTTAGGGGGTGGAGGATTCCGACAGGAAGAGAGGTGGGTGGAGGAGCCTCGGGTCAGGAAGGAAGATAGATAGGGAAGGAAGAAGAAGATGGACGTGACGGCTGACATTTCATCCATGTCAACACCACATCAGCATGGGCGAGACATGGTGGCAAATCCGTACCGGAGGACTATTTCAATGAAAGTTTTTTTCTTGCAAGATAATTTTCAAATAAAATCCATTTAGAGTTGTAAAATGATAAGACATCAATGCAAAACTAAGAAAACTAATTTACCCACCATAAATTATTTTTAATCTTACATTTACTTATAATATTTTATAAATTGTCTTTACTAAAATAAAAATAAGATGATTACGGTGTAAATAAAGAAAAATATATTAATATTAGAATCTATCAAATTTAAAGTGATAGTAAATACAATAATAGAGGGCAAATTTTATAAATATTATATGAATGTATAAATATTGAAATAAATACAACATATTTTGTATTCATTAAATACATACTTAAATAATTAGATATATATAATACATGAGAAAGGGAGACAACAAAACAAGCACATCCAGCATAATTCATCTGAAAATTGAAGTCTCAAGAACAGTGTGTAGCGCTAAACAAGTCATTGGCTAATGAGCATATGGTTATTGATAAATGAAAAACTAAGAAAGAATTCAAATTAAATAATCAAATAAATCATATTGATTTCTAGGAATAGAAAAACAGAGAAAACAAATAAGAATGTTGAAGTTATCTCACTGAATCGGAAACTTCATATGCCCCTTTTTTAAGGTAGGAGTGAGTAGGGTGGGGATCAAAGATTAATTTGCGTATGTGAGCGGACTTGTGAGTAAGAGAAGGATCCTCCTACGCCATAGTTGAATTTGAATACAGAAGAAAGGTTATGGAGGCTTAGACTATCTAATTTATTTAAATAAATTTCATAGCATCTTTTAGTTATATATAATCAAGTAGTAAGAGCATATGCAATGGCTTAGGTATAAATTTGTTTATATGAGAGCATATATATATATATATTGATATATTTTTTCATGCCCATTTATTTGTCTATAAAAGCATATTAAACAAATAAAGTTTAGATACATTTATTTAATAATTGCAAAGAGTTTGTTCACACCAAATGGGGCTACACCAGGATCAATGAATCCCGCTTTCCTTTCAATGATCGCCTCCTTTCTTTTACCATTTTATGCATCTCGTAAATTATAATGCGGACAAGAAACTAAATTTGATTAATACCATGACATAATAAACCACATATATAACTTCAAAACGAAGATGATTTGCACAAAGTTTGAGTCTGATGAGAAAATAAAAGGCACAAAAGAATGCTATAATATTTGTGTTTCAAGACCAAGTCTTGATAAAGTATTTGCACATTCACAATTTAGAAACCATTTAGTCATGACAACACACAATAATAGACATTAGGCAATTATGTATAGCAACAAAATAGATGTAAGAATGTGAAAAAATCAAAAAGAAAAGAAAAGAAAAAAAAAAAGAAAAAAGAGACAATGCAGTGAAGATTGAAGACTCAAAACATATTGTGTTCTACTCTCTCTCCATCCCACATATTATGTAGCCATTGACGATTTTATTTTATTTTATTTCTCAATTTTTTAAGGTACTATATAATACTCCCTCAGTACTAGATAATTTGGGTCTATTAGAGTAGATACCGGAATTTAGTAAAATATAATCAGTAAGTAATTTAAAAAGTGTATTACTAAAAATCTTATCGTACAATAAAAATAATTATAGATTAAGATAGCTAGTTTAATTAAGATTAAGATAACTAGTTTGATTAATATTAAGAAAAATAGAAATGATGAAATTTAAAATGTCACTACCACAAATTGTTTAATACCTTTCGGAAAATTGTTTCAGATTTTGAAATAGATCCGAGGTTAATTTTTTAAAGCCTCGGAATTCGCTTCCGAATGGGACCGGAGGAGTAAATCTCGTTGCCATTTTGGTGGTCTCGGAAAATAGTTTCGGGATTTTCGAGACCAAATCCGAAGAGGAAGTATGCAATTATTAAAAATTGTTTAACAAAATTAATTCAAATTTTTTCTCCCCCATCTGCTGCCACCGCCAGAGAAGGAGCGCCGTAGAAGAAAAAAGAGAGGAAGAACAAGAAGCCAGCTTCGCCGCTGCTGCCGGAGAAGCTGGAGGAGGAGGAGATCACGCCGTGCCCGCCGCCGTCGTTGCCGGAGAAGAAAGAGGAGAAGTAGAGATGCCAATGCTGTCACTGCCGGAGAAGGAGGAAGAGGAGGAGCAAAACCTGCCGCAAACGCTGTTGCACCGCCGCCATCGCCGTTGCCGCCGCCGCCGAAGAGAAGCAACAGCTGCCGGCGACCTTGTTAAGATTTGATTAAAAAATAATTTGGATATATTTTATATTTATTATTTACTATATTTAGTTTAAGAAGGTGAATTTGACTAATAATTATTCCATGTTTATTTGGAATGTAATCTCAATATATTTAGATGTTTCTCATTGAATAATTAAAAGGTCTTTGAAGTTTATCCAAAAGACTCTGCAGGGCCTCTCGTCTCTCCTCTGTTCTTCTCCATTGTCTACAACCTAGTTTGGTGACAATTTCTCTCTTGATTCGCAACAATTTTGGTATCAGAGAGCATAGATATGGCAAACAACTCCGGATTGAGCATCTTGCAGCCGGAAATTCCAATTCTTTTGGGCGAAAATTATGAATTTTGAAGCATTAAGATGAAACGCTGTTCAAGTCCCATGATCTGTGGGGCTTTCTCGAGACCGGATACTTGGAGCAAGATCCTGATGAAGCGATATTGGGGGAGAATAAGAAAAAAATATTCCAAGGCGCTGTTCTTCATACAACAAGCAGTCCATGACTCAATCTTTTCGAAGATTTCATCAGCTTCAACATCAAACGAAGCATGAACACCTTGAAAATGGCATTTCAAGGATCTGCGAAGGTTCTTACCGTGAAGCTTCAAACTCTCAGACGTGATTTAGAAACTGCGCATATGAAGGAAGGAGAAACAGTGCAAGATTTTCTCACTAGAGTCTCTGGAGTCGTAAGCCAAATGAAGTCCTACGGTGAAAGGTTAAAATTGTGGTTGCAAAAATTCTTGGAGTTTGACTCCCAAATTTGATCATGTGGTTGCCGCTATTGAAGAGTCAAAGGATTTGATCACATATTCCTTTGATGAATTGATGGGTTCACTGCAATCCCATAAAG